TCAAGGATAGATTATATAATCCCAGAGAGACTTGTGTTAAGTAATGCAGGCAGAGAGGAAAATAGGAATCATTTGATAAAGGCATAGAGAGATACCAGAAGGGCTAAACAGATTATATTTACTCCAAGTTTGTTCATTCTATACTCTTTTTTCCTACATGAGCATGACTTGTAGATTTTTTTGAAAGCCAAAATTAGTAAACATTGCAAATATCATTCTTTCATTATCTGTACTTAAATGAAAGTAAACATATTGCTAAATAGGAGATAACATTAATTTCTTTCCATTATTGTTAAAACTCCTTTTCTAATAGTGTTTTCATTGTGTTTTAAGATGACTGAGCATACTGCTGTGCTTAAAATTAAATTCATAGTAAAATTGTATAACAAAAGAATAAAAGTTTATTTTTTATATCATCTTTATATTTAACCCTTAAAATGTAAATAATTTATTCAAATAATAATTTAAAATAATTCATTTAAATGGTTAAGAATCAGTTCAGGATTACCATTCAGAGGCAGGCAGGTGGAATCAGTCACTTATGCATTTAATTGGAAATGTTCAATATCTCTGCTTTATTATTATTTTGTGTGTGTGTTTGTGTGTGTGTGTGTGTGTGTGCCTGCCATCAAATCAGATCTTACTGGTACAGGAGGAGATTGTCCCTCCTTCTCCAGCAGAGCATCTGGTGGATTTGACCTGTGTGCCTCTGTGATTGCAGTGCAGCTTCTTGCTACTAGGCCACCAGAGCTGTCCTCTGCTTTATTTCCTAAGGGGACAGGTCCTTAGTGCCATCACCACTCATGAGGAGGCAGATGTTCATGTCCCTCTGACACTGTTACAGTGTCTTGCGCACAGTACCCACTGATTTTGAATTGGTCCTGACTTACTGTGAGTCTCCATTGATTTCTGAGGCCATAAATCTTTATAAGAAGATAATTACCATCTTTCTACCTTGACTTGTAGATTTAACTGGTAGCAGCCTGCTTTGTTACACTATCAGAAATTCTTTTGAACATAGTGTTGTTTTGTTCCATCAAGTCAGAACCAACTCATAGCTGACCCTCCGGCAGGTTTTCAGAAGCCGTAAAACATATAGGAAGGGATTACCTAACTTTTTCCTATGGAGCAGCTAGTAGATTTGAACTTTGTGCCTTTGTGTTAACAGTACAACTCCTCACCATTAGGATACCATGACTCCATTTTTAACATAAGTGAAATGATATTTCTTGTTAACATTTATAGAGGCTTATCATGGTAGGCAGATCCCTAGTTGGCTCAGTTTGTGTTAACTATTGGCTGAAAAGCTAATGTTTTAATTCACCAAGCCATGCCATGAAAGAAAGATCTGATTGTCTATTGTCATAGAGTTAAAGTAATTGAAAACTGTGTGGTGCACAGTCCTACTCTGAAATACATGGGGCCACAATGGATTGGAATTGATGACAGCCAACAACAGTAGTAACAGTCACGTGCCAGGCAATGACATGTATATTGTGTACACATTCATTCACTTGAGAAAGATTTGCTATGATTTGAGAGTAAATAAATGGCCAATGTTTCTCTTCTAGTACATAGAAAAGCCCTTTTACACAACTAATTCTAGACCTAAATACTATTACTGGAGTTTCATTTCTTCTTTGTGAATGGATTTCAATAATGTTCTTGACTCCAAATATATAAATTGAGTGCTATTATGTTAAATGTTGGATGTTTAATATTTTAATAACTATATAATACACTAAAGTCCAAATAAAGGCATTGGTAATTCCTCTTTATTGCCCAACTAGTCTTTTAATAAATAAAATTTGTAGAAACACTGTAATATAAATATACTCAAATTCTACAAGGGGAAAAATCCCACTACACTTAATATTGTTATCATATAGAGAATGTATTAGTGATTTGCAATTTTCTAATGATTAAACTTTAATAATCAATTTATGAAGTCACTGTCACCAAAAGAGACCTCATCTTAATTCTGACCACTGTAATTGAACTTTCTCAATTAGAATTAATGTACCACTACATTAGAATGAATGTACCACTTAGGAAATACTATTCATAACACCCAAACATTACATATCCTTGTTCCTTTTATTTTAAAAAGTATCTTGATTAAATTAACCCATTATAATTACTTAATGGATCAACCTTGTTGAACAAAAAATGACAACCTATTGCAGATTTTTTTAGCACATATCAGGCAGATAATTCAAGTAATCTATTATAAAATTATTAAAATCTTACTGCTACTAAAATAAACACCCTGGTTGCAAGTTTATACTTCTTATTATAAGTTGTTAGACATACTTGCATAGAGAAACATACGGAAACAAATTTCTACTGATCTTGTAGTGTGCTTTTTTTTTTCAGTGATGTTTCTAGATTTTAATGTTCTTCAAAATGGCTTGTTGTTGTTGTTAGGTGCTGTCAAGACGTTTGCGACTCATAGTGACCCTAGGTACAACAGCCCTAAACCCTGCTCTATCCTGTGCCAATCGCATTGCCTCTGACACACCCATCCTGATTACCCCAGTCACTGAATCAATCCACCTCATAGAGGGTCTTCCCCTCCTGTGCTGTCCCTCTTCTCTACCCAGCATGATGTCCCTCTCCAAAGACCTGTCTCTCCTTACAACATGTCCAAAGTATAATAGACGAAGCCCCAGAATCCTTGCCTCCAAGGAGCAGCCTGGTTTAACCCTCTCTAGGATGAATCTGTTTGTTTTTCTTGGCAGTGCATGGTACATTCAATACTCTTCTCCAGCACCACAGCTCAAAGGCGTCAATTCTCCTTCTGTCCTCCCTAGTCATTGTCCAACTCTCTGATGCATAACAAGTGATTGCAAAGACCATGGCCTGTATCAGGCGCACCTTTGTCTCCAAAGAGACACCGTTGCTCTTGAGTACTTTTGAGAGGTCCCTAACAGCAGACTTTCCCATCGCAATACGTTTTTTGATTTCCTGGCTGCTGGTGCCAAGAGTGTTGATTGTGGAGCCGAGCAAACTGAAACTGTGAACAATCTCAATCTCTTCGCCATCCATCCTGATGCTACCAATTGGTCCAGTGGTGAGAATCTTTATCTTCTTGACATTGAACCTCAGTCCATACTGAAGGCTGCAGTCCTTGACCCTCTGCAGTAAGTGTACAAGGTCCTCCTTAGTTTCAGCGAGCAAGGTTGTGTCATCTGCATAATGCAGATTGTTGATAGATCTTCCACCAATCCTAATGCCGCACATCTCCTCATAGAGCCCAGCCTCTCTGATAATCTGCTCTGCACACAAGTTGAAAAGGTATGGAGATAGGACATATCCCTGGAGCACACCCTTCCTAATTTTGAACCATTCAGTGTTGCCCTGCTCTGTTCTGATGACTGCCTCTTGGTCCAAGTATAGGTTTTGCATTAGCACGATTAAATGTTCTGGGATTCCCATTCTTCTCAGTGTCAGCCACAGTTTGTTATGATCCATGCAGTCAAATGCCTTTGCATAATCAACAACAACAACAACAAAATCAATCATTCATTGATTGATTTTTCAAAATGGCAGTAATGTTTAAATGTCATAGACAGTGGTGCAAGATGTAAGTTTAAAGCCTAAGGTATACCCAGTCCAAGCCCTGGTATTTCCACTTGTCTCTCATATATCTTAAAATTGAACAATGAATCAAAAAGACCAAAGAAGAGTCAATTCCTTTAAATTGTGGTTTTGGTAGTGTTGAACACGCCATAACTCATTGCTGTCAGATTGAAACTGGTTCATAGCTGACCCTCCAGTGGGTTTTCAGAGGCTGTAAATCACATGGAACGAGATTGCCCATCTTTCTCCCAAGTTGCAGCTGGTGGGTTCCAATTGCCAGCTTTGGGGTTTGCAGCACAGCTCCTGACCACTAGGCCACCAGAGCTCTGATATACCTTGACTGTCCCATGGACCCCCCAAAGAACAAACCAGTCTGTCCTGGAGCATGTGCACACAAGGTTCTCCTTAGAGGCAAGGATGGTGAAACTTTGATTCATATACTTTAGGCCTATTATCAGGAGGGAACAATCATTGGAAAAGAACATCATTCTGGAAGAGAAGTTAGAAAGTTAGCAAATGAGAAGGAACTCCCCAGTGGGATGATTGACACGATGACTGTAACCATGGGCTCAAGCATATAGGTCATAAGGATGGTGCAGGATAATTTCTCATATGTTGTTCATAGGGTCTCTATGAGTTTTAGTTGACTTGAGACACCTAACAAGAATAATTAATGGTGAGAAGAGCACAAACTTAGTGAATACTACTGCATAATATAGAAAGATAGTGCTTATGAAATTCTTTAAGTGATTTGATTTCTCAGGCTTATGTAACATTTTCATTAGTTAGGTTTGATTTAGAGTAAAAATAAAATGGAGAATAAAAAAATGGAGAATCCAAGTATATTCTAAATAGATGTGTCTTTTTTAAAATAGAGACTTCTTATTGAGGGGAAAGACTTCCTAGAAACGTCTAAACCTAAGTTATTAAGCATATGTTGCGTACTCCATATCCGTAGAGAAAATATTTAGCTATTATGTCTCAAAAATACTGAAACATGTCTCAATTTCACCTGTGGAAAATATTCATCCTCTGTCATTGACTGGACAATGCAACTAAATCGCTGTCAAGGTCTTATTTTCATTTTGGAAATGGCTGGAAGCATCAGATATGTCAATGAAAATCATTATTTTTTGAGGTTGTATTGGAAGTTTTTGTCTAATATGTACATTTTACCATAGATTAAAATCTATTTTTAAGTGCATGCTAAATTGATTGCCTATGCATGGCCTTGGTTACTGAAATTTGTACTAATCTGGGGGATCTTTAGAGCAACACTTCCAAAATAACACAAAACACTTGACAGGCATCCTGTTTCCCAGCATCTCCCGGACTATGAAATCACTGGAGGGTTGGGAGGGACATTTGGAGACTCATTGTAAGGAGACTCTGTGTGTATGCTTGTGTTTCATGTGCAGCCCCTGTTCTTCCTGGAGCCTACCAGCAAAGCCATTCCCAAGGCTATGGATACATGCACCAGACCAGTATGTCGTCCATGAGGTCAATGCAGCATTCACCAAATCTAGTAAGTGTCCATTTGAAGCCTTTCCTACTAGGTCTTCTCACTCACCTTAAAAAGAAAAATCTGTATATGGAATGGAATATTATATGTATTCATATAAATGTTGATGTGTTGCTATTTCTACTAGACTTTTCAAAGGTGCTGGTGGATTAAGCAATGGGATGCTAACTGAAAGGTTAGCAAAGCTAACCAAAACCCTGTAGGATAATTTTACTTGGTTCTAAAGGATTGTTGTGAGTTATTAACTTGAATGGAATTTTCAAATAAAATACACTACTGCAAATAAAGAACACATTAGTAAGCGTGTGAAAGCATAATACAAGAAAATGACAAATTTACTAGAATAGATATCCTAATTATTACTTCATTTTTAGTATTAGCTATTTATGGTCTTCTTCGGATTCAATAGAGAGCCTTGGTAGTGTGTTGTATAACAGACTGGGTTGCTGACCAGGAGGTCAGTAGTTCAAATCGATTAGCCTCTCCTTGGGAGAAAGATGAACAGTTTTCTCCCATAAAGATGATGGTCTCAAAAACCTGTTGGAGGATTGCTGTGAGTTGGAACTGACTCAATAGCAGTGCATTTTGTTTTTATCCCTAAAGAGCAAAAATCTGTGACAGTCATGTTAACTAATGTCAGGTGCCATCGAGTCCACTATGACTCATAGTGACCCTGTGAGCCGCGGATCTAAACCTTACCTTGTCTGTCACCATCCTCACCATCTCATATATGATCAAGCCCATTTTGTTATAGTCACTATGATAATCTATGTAGTTGATGGTCTTCTCTTTCTCAGTCCCTCTACCTTTCCCAGCTTGATGTCTTATTCCAAGGTTTGGTCATTCCTAACAAAGTACCCAAAGTATATGATACAAAGTTTTGTCATCATTGCACTTAAGGAGCACGCTGGTTGCATTTCCTTCAAGACAAACTTGTTTGTTCTTTTGGTAGTTCCCAGGATATTCAGTACTCCCTATCAACACCACAATGCAAAGATTTTTTTTACTCTTTTATTATTATTATTATTATTATTAATTTTAGTGAACATCTACAGAGATTTTGGAATTCCATTCATTCATTGTTGCACT